TTAGGGATATTGGGGAAGGGGAGGGTAATTGGGCCTCCGGTAACCTCACTCACACGACGAAACACAACGCAAGCGTTGCTTCATACCGGTTTTCTGTGAGGCCGTGGTATCACTCCGGTTGAGCCGGCTCATTCGTGCAAAAGCATGGCTCTCCCACACTTGAAAATCTCTGCCAATTTCCATTCAGATTTAGGTATTCAGTAGTTTTACGTACAATTTAAATGTTTGTGGATAGGATGAGTGGATGCTCTCTTTGAGAGAGATCTACCTACTGACTTTTGTTACTGGTCTCTTAAGTAACGAATCTCACTAATAAGTACCTGTAACAGATTCTTTAAATCTCTAGCTTCTTGAAGATTTTTCTCTCCTTAGATCCCTTTTAGAGAGCGCTTTTAGATGATCGTAAAACGCTACAAACTTAAATCTGAGCAATCTTTAATTGGCATATCTTGTTATTCCATTCATTTTATTATTCAATCTTCTGCATTTACTGATGAGTGAATCATACCCGGTGGCTTTAGCTAGACCAACAAAACACACACCTGCTAACATTCCAACATACTTTTTTAGTATTTTTTTTTTACTAACAACTTTATTTATCTACGCAAAACTAATTGGACGCCCAATCATTTTACAAATAGGTTTATAATCGGCAAAACAAAACTGCCAGACTACGAGACGTCCAATTTTCGGAATTATTCAAATTGACGAAATTCTTCAAATCCTCATTCTATCTTCGTTCCCGTGAGAACTTCGGTATATTTATAATTATTGGAGATTTGAGATTATATTGAGCGAAATTCGATAGTGATATGACAGTAATATTATGTTGCGCTGTAAAAGTTCTCATTAATGTGTGTCTGATGTTAATTTTATTGATGACTGTTGGATTGTGCTACTTACAAACATGTTAAGGGCCTCGTTGTATGTTATTCGTGTATTCATGTTAAGTTGTTAGGTAATAAATCTTGGTGTGTTTCTTTGTATTCATTCTAGTGTCATCTGGCAGTCGTTCGTGAGGTAGCTTTTGGTCATATTTTTAACATTTTCAGATGTTCTGTGATTTGTCTATGTCAGCATAAAAGAATGAATACTTGATGATGATGAATGTACTTTAAAATGAATATGCGTAATTAGGGGAAAGTCCCGATAGGGCGGCACCTAACGCCGGACACTTGTATTATCTCGATAACTGATAACACGAGCGAATCAATTTCTACTAAAAATCTTAGGGTTCTGCCACTGGGAGACTTCCCCCTAAAAATTGAATCACTCGCGATATTAGGTCCGGCGTTAAGGGACTTGCCCCTACGTATTACCTCTATTAAGAGATAGAAAATGTATATTAAGTATTTTATCAATACGAGTAGGTGGAGACATCACTATACCTATTTCACATTCAGAATTCATTACATTTAATCCTAACCCTTTAAAAAATCAATTTCGTCACCAAATATAATCCCATTTAACATCCGTATTAATATAACATTTTCAGCTTTACCTGTCGCATTCAATGTTAACATAACTATATCAAGATCGTAAAACCGAACCATTCAATCTACTTCAACCGATTTACCCACTTTTATGTAACTGCATTGCATTGTAAACCCTCTATCGATAAACATAAAAAACATAATACAATATTATAAATTCCACTAGTGATTGTACACACGGCTACATATCGAGCTTTACATAACCAGTATAAACTGAACGTTAAATGTGCGGAAAGATGATGCGACGCGACACCAGGATAAACTGGTTTTGTATAGATTGATGTGTGGCTGTATGTACATTGAAAAAGATCAGAGTTCAAACAGTCGCGAGATTTATTCAAACAAGAAGCCGTTTTGTATGTTAAATGCTTACTCTAATACATAAAATGCCTCTTCAATATTCAAAAGAAATATACTTAAGTTGTGGTAAATTTTAATTTTATGTTAATGTCGCTGAGTCCGTGAGAACGTGGACCGTGATTTGTTTGCGACGCATCGTAGGCGCTGGCGCAACGTGGATTTGTACTCCTAAACGCACACACACATACCGTCTACCGATACGGAGCCGCGGAGGACTTAACGGGTTGCCGGGGCTCCGGCTCGAAGGGCAGTAGGAACGGGGTGGTTTTTAGTTAGTAAGACTGACACTCCCGCCTCACCCAGGTGGGAGAAGAAAATTGGATATTTGGTCAGACCACCGTATAGGACTCCGGCCTCTCGGCCCCATCCATTAAGGCTTTGACTGCCAATAAAAGACTGTTGAAGGTAAATCCTCCGCTAACGCCGGTCACCGGTGACCCCCATGGCGTTTAACGTGTTAAACCGTTGAATAAAATTGTCTTTGTGTGCGTGCGTCAACAAAAATACCAACTTGAATATTTTTATGCGTATTAAAGTGATGATTTGTATTCTAGACATAGAGGCATTATCTGACCGCAATGCCCATAAGTTGTTCAAATATAAATCTCCATGTTTTATTTCATTACACAAAAACCTTTGAAAAAGTCTGTTGTTTTGCATACAATGTGAGAATTTGATGGTAAACGATGATAATCTTTGGTGAAGTTGTCAACTGTTAACGGTTAAAGCTAGTATTATCAATTTGATACTAATGTCTGTATACTGTAGTGGTTTTGAACGCTACTATCAGGCTTATGCCGGAATACTGAAGCGTAAGGAAAGTAAACATTTGAATTTTGAAGTCTTGTAGTGTGACATATCTACGTAACTGCTGAAAAGAGAGAGAGAGAAAGAGGACACAAAAACAAAGTGGTACCCATTTACACATTACTTGCTTCTTCAAGCAAAATTAGTCTTAACGTCCTTTGTTTTATTATTGACAGTGTCATTTCAAACATTTATCTAGTCACTCTACTTCCTCGTTCATCCTTATCAAATCCCCTCTGACACGTCTCAAAACCACTTAACGACAATCAATACACATTTGATAAAATAATCCTTAAATATTTATACTTAGATAAGTGCCCATTTAGAGCAATCATTGGCATTTAAATCATTATCTTTTAAAACTTAAATAAAGTCCAAAAAAATCTAGATATTCAACATAGTAATTAAATTTCTTAGTCTTAGTTCTTTCGGATTTAGACGCTCATCAAAATAAATAAATAATGTTTTAGCATTGGTCAAAAACGATGTATCTCTAATTCGATGACTTCATTAACAATTTCATCAAAATCCATTCATCAGTTTGTGATAAAAAGAAAACAATTTCATATAAGTCAAGTTATATTTTTATTTATTTATCAAAGAAAATAAATGAATATTTCTACATAGAACACACAACAAAAACTTGATCTTATTAAAACTAAGAGCTCCATTTTACCCTATCGATGAAAAACAACATTATTTTGCACGAACACAATATAAATTAAGTTTACATTAGGCCGGTGAACTTCGCTACATAACAAAAAAAAAAGAAAAAAAAAAGTAATTACGAACATCAAGTTGCCGCGTCTTTGAATCAAAGTGTATAAAGAAAAGAAAATAAAATGATTGTATCGATCAGTTGGCGGACCCAGTTGGCAGTTTAAACTCTTGCGCAAGTCAACAATCTGGGAGGTGCGCAATGACTTACTGGCTTGATGTCGATTGAGTTGGGAATGCAAGGGCAAAACTGTTACATATTAATGTGTGTTAAGTTATATTTTTCTTTGTAATATGGTTTTTTTTAGTGTCTTAAGATAAAACCTGTAAAACTTAAACACTAGTTGGTAATAGTGATAATTAGATTTTAGTTGAGTTCGATGACCTAATAACTGGCTAACATGAAATGATTGGATCTCATTTCGAGATCGATTATTTTTTTCTTTTTTTGAGGCGGGAATATCATCAATGACTTCTCCCGCCTTGCGTAAGGCGAGAGGTAGTGTCAGATTCCTACTGGCTAAAAACCACACCGTTCCTCTTCGAGCCGGAGCCTCAGTAACCCGTTAGGTACTCCACAGATTTCGAGATTCGGATTGATAGCAATCTTTATTCATATAGTAACAATAGAAACCAATTAAAATCTTCGCATAACAAAACAAATAAAGACAACACAATATGCAAAAACTATTCAAATAAAAAGCACATCTCTTGCAATCTAACGTTCAGTTTCTATAACCTATCTATCTGTAGATTTGCTTACTAGAGATAGAATTTTGACATGAGCTCCATACAAAAAGTGTCATCTCTAGTAAGCAAATCTACAGATAGATAGGTTATAGAAACTGGACGTAAGGACTACAATAAAAAGCCGTAAGCTTATTAAACAATCATCCTAATTAATTAAGATCTAGAATGCTCATTAAGTACGAACATAAGGACAGATATTGCATGTTTTTGCAACGCCATAAAGCGTACGCCCCGAGGCTGACTACTGACTTTTGTTTTTTACAATACCATTGATACAATGGCGAGTCGAAATGAATTCATTTTACGCAAAAAGTAGCCCTTTAATGTTCAAGTTCTGAATTCAATAACGATAAGCTGTATTATTTTTATTTTCTTTGTCCAATAACTCGTTTGTTGAGACAACAGTTTTTGTTGAAACAAGTGAAAGACTGACGAACTGGTTTCATCTATTGAAGGATGTACATCAGCTGATTTATTACAGCCTTTAATAGCAATGATAGAGTTTTTATTACAACTGCTTTTATATATTTTTTTTTGACAAATTGTTATTATAATTGATGCAGTTATATGAGTAAGGGATGACGTCATATGGTGCATATCAATCAAACCATTTAAGAAAAGAATGCGAATGTAATATTCAGTTTTTATGCAGATATAAAAATAAAACTGTTACAGATAAATAATGAATGAAATGAAGCTATCGAACCATTTTGATCCGCGCACTTTGGAGCATGAGGCATTACCTACCTACCTACTACAATTTTTATTAATAAGAACTCGAAATACCAAACGTAAAGTATTGGTCTTTTCTTTATTTAGTACATACTTCTTCGGTCTACTACACCAAACTTACGTGGTCTTTTCTACTTCCAGAGAAGAAGAAGCATTGTCAAGATGCCAGAACTCACCAGGATCAGTGGGTCCTCCACCGTCGGCGGAACACTCTCTACTGCTCTGCTGTTTTAGGGACCTCTGCAATCATGAGGACAGTCCATTGGCTAGAGCGAGACTCAACCTTACTAGTAATGAATTTGGTAAGTCTGATTTTGTTTTTTTTAACCGACTTCAAAAAGGAGGAGGTACTCAGTATACCTGTATGTCTGGGCGCGATTATCTAACGATTGGCTGTGCCGATTTTCCGAGGAGAAGGTTTTAATACCTATATTAAATAACCGATTTAAAAAAAGAGGGCGTTGAAGTCAGTTTTTTATACATAGTTTGTAAATGAATTAATTTGGGCCTTAGCTTATGATGTGTGTGAAGTGTAGGAGAGCCATGCTCCGGCATGAATGGGCCTGCTCGAACGAAATCATACAACGGCCTCACAGAAAACCGACGTGAAGCAACGCTTGCGTTGTGTTGCGTCGTGTGAGTGAGGTTACCGGAGGCCCAATTACCCTCCCCTTCCCTAATCTCCCCAATTCCTGAATCCCCAACGATCCTCAAACTCCTAATCCCCAAAAGGCCGGTAACGCACTTGTAATGCCTCTGGTGTTCCAGGTGTCCATGGGCGACGCCGATTGCTTACCATCAGGTGATCCGTCTGCTCGTTTACCGGCTTATACCATAAAAAAAAATGATGTAAAGTTAGCTTAAAGGACGAGTAACTGTTATAGTCATAATTTCATAGCAAAAGATACGCTACACAGCTTTACTGATCTTGTCATACGCTTTGCAAACGAACTAAGGTTTATCTACCCATGAAAGGGACCGTTTCCCTAAGTAAATGAGTTAGAATTTAATGCCTCTTAATATACTTTCCTGGTTGTTTTAATAAAGATGCAAATATTATATAGGTTTCTATCTAATACAAATAATATTCCGCCTACCTGAATGTGTAGGCAAAATCTCTCAGTCAACAACACAGACTGTAAAACCAGATTTTCTTAGACCACCGATAAACATGAAGATTAAATTCAAGACTACAGAAGTCTAGACACTGCAAAACACATTAAGGGTACTAGGCGCCAATGAAAAGATAATCTAGTTATTATTCTATAATCCTACAAGAAGTCATGTCAAGCCCACACAGAGTTAAAGATAGTAGATTATAAACATTATTCTTGAATGAACTACACTTTTCCTTCCGTCGCGATTCATAAATCGATTTCATTCGAAACAGAATCGATTACGCTTATCTAAACGATATTCGAAACCATAACAACGTTGCATTTATGCGAGTGTTCACGTAACAACAACATTGGAATGCTTGATTAAGATCGTTGCAACTAAATCCTTGTGCAATCTATTGATTGTGTTACGGACGTCTGGGAGTCTGTATCCAGAGTATATTGGAGATATAACCTGTTGCCAAGTTAGGTAATTGGATTTTGAACTCTATACAGAAAAAAATATAGTAGAAAAACGCAAACGTTTTAGTGAAAACCAACGACAACCTGCGTCCCTTTCCTTTAATTTCATAGTTGACTCTTTACATTGTTCGTATAGTATTGTTTATTGAAACCCTAAACCCTTAGAAATGTAAAACTTAAGGATGTTTGAATGTTTCACGCAAAAACTAATAACGTATCTGAAACACCAGATGATAGAACATAACATAACAGAACATAACATAACATAACATCACACCTTTTATGCATACTATATCTTAACTAAAATGATTTCGACAAATTGATTTCGAATTAGCATTCTTTTTTACTAACTAGTGCAATTGATTACCTCAATTGACTGCCTCGTTGGCCGAGTGATCGCAAGTGCGACTGCCGGGCAAGGGGTCTCGGGTTCGATTCCTGGTTCGGGCAAAGTAGTAATACTACTGGGTTTTAAAAAAAAAATCAGTAGTAGCACGGAGACTGGAATTGTGCCCGGTATTTGGCAATAGGCTCACCCCCTATAACATGGGACTCATAACATAAATAGTGAAAAGTGGGTGTTACATTGTATAGTGACATTAAGCGCCGTAATGTACACCTCTGCCTACCCCTTCGGGAGCAAAGGCGTGATTTTATGTTGTGTTTATCTAACTAAAATGATTTCAAATTAGCATACTGTTTTACTAACTAGTGCAATTGATTACCCTTTCTCTCGTATTTAGCTGTAACTATAATGGAAAGGCTACCTTAGCAGGCGCTCAGGCAGGTGAATTCAAAACAGGTTCGATTCAGCTCTAAGAACTAAGAACAATTGGAAGGTATAAATGCAAGTTTTATATTTCGCCGTAAGCCAATTGCAGTAAACGGGTCGTAAACAGTAACTGCAGCCTTTTGATTACATTAATCAAAAGTTTAATTATAGTGAACATTCAAGTTTGTTAATGGGCACATAAAAGGTTTTTCTTATTGATTAAATTCAATCGCAAAGGTATAAATTTTAAATTAAGACCTTTAAAGGTTTTTTTTTTAAATAAAACATACGAGTTTAATCCAGTGGTTGCAAACGAAACTGTTAGACATGGTTCGAGCTCAGAATAAGTAAAAGTTAAAGCTCAGAATAGCACTTTTGAATCGTCAAAAATTGAATTATCCGCCTGTCCGTCTGTCAGTGAAGCTAGGCGCTAAACGTAGCTATAAAGTTTATATTTATAAAGATCGTAACGTATGATAGGTATTGAAAATTGTATCTAAAGCAATGAAATCCACAGCAAAACCAAACACTTTATCAAACCCAAAAATCCATTTACATTAAGATAATATTATAAAGACACTAGTAGAAAAGAGATCAATATAATAACAACACAGAAACAAGGAAGTCTACAAACAACTTACATAATAAAACAACGACTTAATTTGTACCTGATTTGCACCCACAAACCAATACAAAGATAATACAATACAATACAATAAATTATTACTTAAACCATCAATGCAATACACATAAATATCTATGCTCCTAACATCGACAACTCCAATTATGTTGATACAATAATACTGGCGTCGTAAATTGTATCAAATAAACGTATTAGAATAAACATGTTGAATACATTATGTAATCAGCTTGTGTCTATTTGAATACAACTGTTTATGGTAGATATCGGTTCCCAGGGTAGACAAGAGTAGCTGTGAAACGCCCCATCAAAAAAAAAAAAAAAAATGGTAGACGAAGATTAGCTGCTAGTTTTAATTATTTTTCACCCGCTTTGCTCAGCGCTTATTCGTCGTAGCGTGATGTTTTATAGCCTATAGCCTTCGTCGATAAATGCACTATCCAACACAAAACGAATTATTCAAATCGGATCAGTAGTTTCGAAGATTAGCTCGTTCAATCAAACAAACAAAAGCCTCAACTTTAATAGTATGTTTATAAGATGTATCTTTGGTCCCCTTTGATTGGTCGATCAAATAATATATTTATTGTCAAAAGAAACTCTGTGGAATACACAAAATATAATGAATTTCCTCCAGTAGTCTAGAATTACCATATGAGTTACACCATCTCTGGTTGCTTATGCGGATAGCAAAAGACATATAGACATGAACAAGGGTTATAATGCACATAATATGGATTTTAACTGACATTAGCTTAGAGAGAAGAAAAACAAGGATTCAATAGGCTTCCTGTCTGCAATCTTATACTATTATAGAGGTATAAAGCGGAAGAGTTTGTTTTTTTGTTTGTTTGAACGCGCTAATCTCCGTAACTACAAGTCTGATTAGAATAATTCTTTTTGTGTTGAATAGCGCATTTATCGAGCATAGCTATAGGCTATAAAACATCACGCTACGACCAATAGGATCTAAGCAAAGCGAGTGAAACCGCGTGGAAGTAGCTAGTGTATAAATAAATCACATTCTAAATTACTTGTCTTTCACACAATGAAGAATTGCATGACTAAAACCATTTCAATAATAAATATTTCTCTTAACTTTCATTACAAAATTGCCAGAGACTTGGAGATCGTATCGTAACTAGTTGCAGTAAAGCCGTGTCAAACAGAACTGTACAAGTATTAAGGCTGGTTCAGACTCGCGGCAGACAATTTATTAGTCGCATGCGCAGTTCTCATCGCTTCTAGTTTATTTCATTCTTTGTTAAAGTTATTGTTGTAGTTTGGTTTGTAGTTTTGTTGAATGTGTTTTATCTAACTTGATATGGTTATTCACAGAAGAGTGAAGATGAAGATGCACGCACTCATTAACTCGTCGAGTACTGTATTTATAGACATAATTAAAGAACAATAGGTTGCGGTCACCGGTGACCGCTTGGTGTTTGACAGTTTAAGCCAAATAGTTTTTTAGTCTCGTCAAACAAAGAATGTCTAAGAAGATGTTAAGAAATTAAACATGCAACCAAAATAAGATACTATTATATCGCCCGTAGTACCTAAATCATCACGATTACAAACCATAATAAAGATTATTAAGCAATCATGATCGTTCTATACCAATACGGCCATTACCGAAAGACCTTTATGCCAATGCGGCGTGCGAAGTCAAAGTCTGAATTTACCTTAACAAATATAATAAATAATTCAATTCTTTGACAAGCCATTAAAAGTGATAATAGTTCTATATATATTTCAATTTGATCTAGTATTAAATCATGGACAGGTTGTCTACCACCGATTTCTCCTACCGTTTGTCATTCATTATTTATTATGTATTAAACGACTAGTTTACGATATTACCAAGTTTAGTTATAAGCGCCATGTTATTAAGCTTACGACACACCGGAGTAGTCATAATGTTCACTTAAAGACGCGTAACTTAAGAATTGGGACATGTCAAATTAATCACCATAATTCTACATTTAGGCAATTAATACTGTTTTTATGTTGCGTAGTATGTTTCCAATTCTTTTATTTATATGGGAACGGAGTAAAAGGTTGAGGCTGTTTTAATATTTCATCAGTTGTCAATGGTGTCATCTTAACCTTCATTCTAGTGGTTGCTGCAAACAATTTAACATCACCAGTATTAGTTAAGAGATTATGAATACACTCGCTTTCAACCTTTCCTGTTTTGTTATCATACCATCGTGTAATTTATTCAACATCCCTTGACAGTCCTCTTTTATACTATAGGCCTTCTCTACATAAGAGAGTAACGAGATATGTTTGTTGTAATACACCAAACAC